ATTTCTTCCATCGAGCGCTCGGGTCCATAGTTCTAGACGGTAGAGCAAAATGGTCAAGCAGGACCTTTCGCCACAGAATCTGTGCTGCTTGTTAGCGAGAAGTTGATGGCGCTCCAAAAGTTGCATGAGCTCGCGTTTGACTATTCGCTCCATTAGCATGCAACATCTTGCAGTGAGGCTTATCGGTCTGTAGTTGATTGCGGACACCCGAATCTCACTTCCATGAATGGGTGAGGTCCACGCTATCTGCCAAATATGACTGTCAGTATGCAATAAATATGTAGGCACAGAAAAGTCTGTCTATCAGCCTGTTTGCTTAATTTCTCCGCTACATGTGCGAGGTGAACCTGATACTGACGCAGTTTACCGTGACCTGGAAGGCTGGCAACGGACGCTAATAGTAGACCACGCCATCAGCCCACTGGGGGTTGTGTGGAATTGGCTGTTCAGTGAACTGCCGATAAATGTTCGCAGTGAGGTGCCTTTTGAGAACACGCAGTATGTGATTTTGGCATTTCTGTAGCGAATAGCTCCACACAAAGTACTATTGTAAACGCCTGTCATGACTAGCTCACTTCGAAGTGCACTTTTGGAACGCTGGCTGTTTTCCGGTCTCTGTAACACTCGAACACAGACAGACTCACACAAGTTCTCCTATGACGACTGCCGAGCAGACCTCTACGGTTGTCTGGTAGGCAATTTCCTACTGTCTATTCTCCTATTCATTCTGTACAGAATATACTCTTCCTAACAATCTGGCTTTTCCAAGACTTCTCCCTTCTCTTTAGGAACCGGGCCTGGAAGATCGCAGCCGTTAGGGTAAAACCGTAAAAGCCTTAACACCTCTGCGATAGTACCACGTGTGGTAAAGGTACCTGTGAGCAATGATATAACAATTTGGTGACATTCCACCGCAGGTTGTCATGGAGGCACCTGTAGCCCTACAGACTCATGTGGTGTGTGTTTGGGATGTGCGGGCCGTGTAGACGAGCGTGGTGACTGTATGTTGGGACTCCAGGCACTGGTTCACCAGTCCCTGTGCGATGGCTTCGCATGTGACCGGCCAGGCCGATGCATGATGCGTATGTGCAGTTTCCGTGAGGGCAGCTTAGATCGGGGGGTTGAACTGGTGTTGGTATTGATGGTGAGGTTGGTCAGGCCGATTGAAGGGCTGGGGCTGGAATGTACAATCAAACTGGGGACATGTTTGACTCGAGTCCCCATTATTGGTGGTGTTGGTAGTTGGGTCATTTTGGAGGTGCCAGGTGGCATGTCCATAGAGGGTGGTGGAAGTGTTTGCTATGGTTGCCTTGGGGTTCATCGTTGTGATCAATGTAGGGGTCTGGGATTGGAGTATTGGGTCCACAGTTGTTTGTCCTTCCCCT